CGAATTAAGTCACATTTTGCCAAATTGGAGCCATTTTTTACTTCTGTTTCATCACTTTTTGCAGTGTACAAACATGGTTTCAGTTTAAATAGATGAGTGTGATTTTCTTTTCTCTGCAGGTAAATGACAAAGTAAACAGACGGTAATGAGACGAACCTCTTCAATATCCCATGTTTATGTCCGTGACTCCAGACCTCATTCACACGACGCAATAATGACGTTTAAAACCATAAATAATGTCTATGTTTTTAGTATCGGTTTGACAAATGTGAGGCCTGTGGTTTACGGACTCAGACCGATGCTCCTCAACTGTGTCTTAAAATGTCGTTTACAGTGGTTTTTACACTGTTAATTATGTTTATTAAGTGTATTCACCTCAGAGTCCGCAGCCATTCAAAGGTAAAAGGACCTTGGTTTCTGAACGAACCGAAACTTAAAACATAGACGATTCAGAAACCTGGTAATTACTGAACATAAAATCAATTAGGTGACGTTTTTTAATTCATTTTATGGTTTTATGCTAAAAAAACCCAGTGGGAAAAGAGGCTGGAGACCCAGGACTGAGGCTGTAGACCCAGGACTGAGCCTGTAGACCCAGGACTGAGGCTGTATATCCAGGACTGAGGCTGTAGACCCAGGACTGAGGCTGTAGACCCAGGACTGAGGCTGTAGACCCAGGACTGAGGCTGTATATCCAGGACTGAGGCTGTAGACCCAGCACTGAGGCTGTAGACCCAGGACTGAGGCTGTAGACCCAGGACTGAGGCTGTATATCCAGGACTGAGGCTGTAGACCCAGGACTGAGGCTGTATATCCAGGACTGAGGCTGTAGACCCAGGACTGAGGCTGTATATCCAGGACTGAGGCTGTAGACCCAGGACTGAGGCTGTAGACCCAGGACTGAGGCTGTAGACCCAGGACTGAGGCTGTAGATCCAGGACTGAGGCTGTATATCCAGGACTGAGGCTGTAGACCCAGGACTGAGGCTGTAGACCCAAGACTGAGGCTGTAGACCCAGGACTGAGGCTGTAGACCCAGGAATGCGGCTGTAGATCCAGGACTGCGGCTGTAGACCCAGGACTGCGGCTGTAGATCCAGGACTGCGGCTGTAGATCCAGGACTGGGGCTGTAGACCCAGGACTGAGCCTGTAGACCCAGGACTGAGCCTGTAGACCCAGGACTGAGGCTGTAGACCCAGGAATGCGGCTGTAGATCCAGGACTGCGGCTGTAGACCCAGGACTGCGGCTGTAGATCCAGGACTGGGGCTGTAGATCCAGGAATGCGGCTGTAGATCCAGGACTGCGGCTGTAGACCCAGGACTGCGGCTGTAGATCCAGGACTGGGGCTGTAGATCCAGGACTGAGCCTGTAGACCCAGGACTGAGGCTGTAGACCCAGGAATGCGGCTGTAGATCCAGGACTGCGGCTGTAGACCCAGGACTGCGGCTGTAGATCCAGGACTGCGGCTGTAGATCCAGGACTGCGGCTGTAGACCCAGGACTGCGGCTGTAGATCCAGAGCCTTGCAGCACATTTCCCAAATTGTCCTGAATCCTTTTGTGTTTTATGTAACTATCTACATTAGATGTAGTTTAGATGAATTCAGGGACTACAGGTGGAAATCAGAAACTTAGCTATAACCTGCTACTATACATCTCTCCCTTGTCCATCCATCCATCCATTTTCTTCCCCTTAATCCATTTCTGGGTCGGGGGTGGCAGTCAGAGCCAAAACATTTTAACAACATTCTTTAACACAACTCTGCAAAAAGTGATGAAAATAAGTCAAAAAATGCTCAAATTTGGCAAAATGCCTCTTAATCTAAGCACATTCTGACTTAGCCTGGTTGTACCACACCATAGTACACATTACATTTCATACTAAGGTCTGGAGGTGTTCCATTGAGCTCCGTGAACAGGTGGGAGGGGTTAACTCCTTTTGCAGATTGAAACCATTGGATCTGAGTTTACTGTGACGTATGTAATGAGCCCGAGTGTGTTGTTAGCATTTAGCATTTAGCCTAGCTTTAGCCATCTCCTTTGCCGCTAACGGAGCCCGTGGGGAGTAGCGCCACAATCTTTGCCAGTGATTACATTTGCTAAACATTCCTCTTGCTCCGGCTTCTGTTTCTTGATAGAACCAGACCGGATTACTTTACTATCACATTTTTCGCCAAACTACAACCCGCCCGTTTGGCGCAAACTCTTGACGTCACCCACAACTAACTACAACACCCGCCTCCCGCGCTCTCTGATTGGTCGGAAGGAATTCAACCGATTGTTATCGCAAACACAGGGACCAGACCCAGACGTTACATGCAGGAAATGATAATTGAGTGTTTGGATGGATAAGACCGGGCTAAATCTGACTGAGCCTTAAAACCAGATTCTCCAATGAGACAAAACTAAATGATGTGGTTTTAAAAAGATACAGAAGTGTCTCCCTTGGATCTAGTTTTAACACAGTCAGATTAAGATTTAAAAAAAAAACAGTAGATTCAA